TATTACTTACTCAGATCTCTCTATAATAATTAAAAAAAAATAGAAGAAAATGAAAAAAGTAGATATACAGTATATACTGATAAGTGATGAGACTGTTGCTGATCATATAATATTGTAATATAGATAGTAAATACAATATAAATAAGAGTAAACTCAAAGTGACTGATCAATATATAAGTTAGATTGTAAGAATAAAAGAGATTCAGATGAGAATTTGACTGTCTATATTAATTTAAATACAGAAATTTCAGAGGATGAACTGTCAGAAATATCAGTGAATATACTGAATCAAATCAATTTAACATCTGAAGATACTCAGAAATTGAATGAAATTAGTTTCAATAAATTATTCACTGTAGTTATCTGAGCTTGTGAAAAGAGACAGTATAATATATGAAGATAAAATACTTTTATTAAAAGATATAAAATCTACTGCATCTGATTATCAAAATATAGAAGTAGACTGGCCATGTGATCATGTATGGAACTGGGACCAAATTTTTCCTCAGTTCCATTATTAGATATCTTAGTTCTGGTCTCATATAGTGTTTAGCAAATTAGTCACTTTACACTGTTTATATTATAAATCTAGTCTCAGATCATGTTTTACTAATAAATTAGTGATCCTGGTCCCATTTGGTCTCATTTTACAAAATGGGACCAAATGGGACCATGATTTACCCTATATAGGTTGGCAGCGATAGATAGGTTGGCAGCGGTAGGTAGGTTGGCAGCGGTAGGTAGGTTGGCAGTGATAGATTAGCAGCAATAGATTAGCAGCGATAGATTAGCAGCGATAGATTAGCAGCGATAGATTAGCAGCGATAGATAGATTGGCAGTGGTAGGTAGGTTGGCAGCGGTAGATTAGCAGCGATAGATTAGCAGCGATAGATAGGTTGGCAGTGGTAGGTAGGTTGGCAGCGGTAGATTAGCAGCGATAGATTAGCAGCGATAGATTAGCAGTGATAGATTAGCAGTGATAGATAGGTTGGCAGTGGTAGGTAGGTTGGCAGCGGTAGATTAGCAGCGATAGATTAGCAGCGATAGATTAGCAGTGATAGATAGATTGGCAGCGGTAGGTAGATTGGCAGCGATAGATAGGTTGGCAGCGGTAGGTAGGTTGGCAGCGGTAGATTAGCAGCGATAGATTAGCAGCAATAGATTGGCAGTGATAGATTAGCAGTGATAGATTAGCAGCGATAGATAGGTTGGCAGTGGTAGGTAGGTTGGCAGCGGTAGATTAGCAGCGATAGATTAGCAGTGATAGATTAGCAGCGATAGATAGGTTGGCAGCGGTAGGTAGGTTGGCGGCGATAGATTAGCAGCGATAGATTAGCAGCGATAGATTAGCAGTGATAGATAGATTGGCAGCGGTAGGTAGATTGGCAGCGGTAGGTAGGTTGGCAGCGGTGGGTAGATTGGCAGCGGTGGGTAGGTTGGCAGCAGCACTAAGCAAGATAGAGATAATATCTCCACCAATTATATCATCAGATTGATGTATTATATAATCATCAGAATGGGACCAAACTTGAGTCAAAATCATGATCAGTCCCAGATCATGTTCTGATTTTGATAGTCAGTCACTTTACATGGAATATCAAGATTTTTTAGTCCCATTTCACTCATGTTTTGATAATTCTAGTCACTTTATACTCTCATTCTGATTCTGATTCCACTAAAATCATGTCAAGAAATGAACTGAAATCAAATCAAATCAAATCAAATATGTAATTCATGGTTCCAGCAGCCAGTCTATATAGAACTGATAAAAGATCACATAAAATTGATATCAGATAAAAAGAAGAGAAAGAAAAAAAAAATTAAAAAAAAATCTATTTATATACAGCTCTAGTAACTGTCATAAAAGCTTTATCTAATTTCTAAAAATACACAGATATTATAAAATAAAGAAAAAAAAATGTATATTAATAAAACACTCAAATTCAACATCTTCAGAAATAATTTATATACAATAAAAATTAAAACTTAATCTGTATCAAAAATTTCAAGATTTTAAAATAAATATATAGAAGTACAGAGCACATCTTCATCTCTCAAAAAGTCTGATATATTAATTCAATATCTTTAATAAAGAGATTTATAGAAAGCTCAATAAAACAATGAAAATATATATACAGAGAAAAATCAATTAGAGTAGAGAAGAATAAGATGAAAGTGAATAAAGCAGTAAAATGAATATCTGAATCTCTATAAGAATAAGTAGTGAACACTCATTCAATAAAAAGCAGAGAAAGAAAAGAAAGAATGAAAGTGAAAGTAGAAATAGAGAAGAATAAATAAGTTGTAAAAAAATCAGAGACAGAAGTAGCAATAGATATATATAAGATGATATCTGAAGCAACTACAAAGTATTAGTAGTTATTATAATATAAAGAAAAGAGTATACATTTATTGAAAGAATAGAAACTCTTCTTAAAGCTTTATAAATAATTACAATAGAGACAGAGATAGTCAATGAAATGATTATATATAAAAAACAGAATACAAAATTGAAATGAGTTTTTATTATATACACAACTCATACAAGAAACAGATGTATATTTATCTCAAGTATAAAAAAGCACTATATCATCATTTAAACTACTCTGTATATATATGTTTTTTCTATAAATAATCAGTTTGAAAGTTATATATTAATATAAAGAATAATAGTATTTATCTGATAGACTGAAAATGTATAAAAACAGAGAAATAATATAAAAACTGATATAAGTAAATATAATACAGAGATTTTCATCTGCTATAATCTCAATAATATAGAGACTCTAAACAATTTCATTTATAATAAATTAGAATAAAAATTTATAAATAAAAGAAGAAGTATTACATACACTCAGTACAATTTATTTGAATAACAGTGGAATTTCTGATATATATAAAATTACTGAATATCTTATACTTGCTTCAAGTAAAAGATACAATTAATAAATAACTAGTAAAGTGAGTTGTATTGTACAAAACTTGTATATAAAAATATATTTTATCAGACACAGTGGGTGCAGAAGAGAAGTGTGAGGAATAAAAAAAAAGACTGTAGAAAATATACAATATCTTTAAGAGAGCAGATATAAATAAGAAATTAGTGTAAGAAAAGAAGAGAGAATTGATATGAATAAAAGAGGTGAAATCAAAGACAGCAGAGAAGATATAGATAGTAGAGAAGATACAGACAGCAGAGAGAGCAGAAACAGCAGAGAAGATAAAGATATAAACAAAAACAAAGAGAGTAATAACAGAAGATAACACAGAGATATTCATCATCACATTATTTTTATAAACACTGTCATTACTATCTATATTTATATCAATGATTTTGTCAACTGTTTCATTCATGATTTTATTATTAAGCAAAATATTCATATTATTATTGTCATATTCAATCTCTATAATATTATTGCAGATAATCTTCTCAACAGAAGTGAGATTATCTGCAGAGAGATCTTTGAAAAAGAAGTTAGAATAATTATAAATCAGATATACACTCTGATAACAGAGAGTAGAAGCTAGCAATAATTAGCAATTATGAAAGTCATCAATTTACAATCAAATTAACTTTTGACAAGGTTTGATTGATGAGAACTTATCAGTAGATTATTCAATACAACTGAAACAGTGAGAATTATAATAATCAGATGTTATATTGTAGAATAGAGAGAATTAGATATTTGATAAAATAGAATAGATATATAAGATGATCAAAAGCAGAGTAAAGATGAAATGATTGAAAAAGGGTAAGCAAACAAATAGAATGAAATAGTTGTGAATATGATGTGATTAGTGATGAAACAGTATTATTGTGATAAGAATTCTTGTGTATATGAAGCAAGAGCATCTTATCATTTTGAGCTAGACAACATACAATCACAACAATGACTTGACAAACATATGCTATAAATGTTTCAGAAATAACACATTACAAAGACAGATGCACACAGCAGAATATCATTATAAAAGTATAGACAGATTTGATAGAGGAGAATATAGTAATTTCAGCTTATTATTCTTCTGTGATGTACACCACCCTCTATTATCAAGAATGATGTATGCTATTGCACTAGTAACTATTTTGTATAAGAAGAGCTTGCAAGCTGAGAAGCTTGCAACAGCTCAAGCAACCTTTGAACCACATTTATATCATCTATATAGTTTATATAATCTATTTCAATGATACTATTTACAAACTTAATAATATTCTGATAACAATATATAAATCAATTAAAAAAGAAAAAAGAAAGAAAATTAGAAAAAAAATCATATAAGAAAATTTTTATAAAAGAGAGATTGAAATAAAAAAATATTAAAGATTATATAGAGTAATTATTAAAAACTATATGAATACAGAGCAGAATTGTAAGAAGAGAAATGTTTTATAGATATATAAAAGTATATAAAAAAGTGAATAAATAACAGAGAGTTGATTGTGTAAGTTAACTACTAACAGATGCTAATCCATCACAGTTATTAATTGTATACTATAAATATTTTTTTATATTACTGACTATTTTCTGCAGTTTATATATCAGAGAAGTTTTCAGTATCACTTAATAATTCTCTGATAATCTGAAGTAGATATTAATAATTTCAATTATCTCACTGAAGTTAGCAGATAAAAGAAGATAAAAGAAGTATTTATTGAGCAGATATATTTTAATAGAGATCACTGAATATCAAATTATATCACTGATATTTCTCTAATATACTTTGATATATTTTATTAAATAATGAGTTATATTAACTGAGTAAGAGCAATACAACCTTCTAGATTTATTGAAGCTTCTACACAACTCATAAGATCAATACATATATATATTAGTTGCCGCTAACCACTAGATAGATAATAACAACCAATCAAAGTTCAACCCTCTTACAAGGTTGAAGGCCATGCGATAGACTAACATCGGCATTTAGCACAAGCCCCACTGAAAGCTTGTTTACAACGGAATTAATGCCAACTAGTCAATTTCAATTTTCGCAATCCCTTCCATCCACTATAAAGAGATCGAATACGCTCGGAAAGCGTTGAGTTTACGTCATGCTTCTAGATTAAAAGAAAAGAAGGTGGTAGTTGTTGCCAATACAGTAGCTATTTATTTTTCACAGCTCTCAACTCACCCCAATTGTTGATACCTGGCCAAATTATCAGTCGTACTTCCGAAGGCTCCGGATCCGCTGAATGCATATATTATCATCATCGATACAGTTGGGGCTATTTACTCTATGCCAATCCCTTCGACATGTCCTCCTTCTCCGTTGTTCACCTCCCCAACGGCCTTTCTCTCTCCATCACCCCTGTTTTTGGGGGTATTTCGTTTAAACTGAATGAAATAGCGGTTAACGCATCCGTCCTGCCTCCCGGCTGGACCATTGTCATTCAGACGGAGAAGAATCACTGGAATTCCCAGCAGGAAAACTTATCTCCCTTGCAATGCTGCACACCCAGCGCAATTCCCCCTGGAGAAATATCAACCCCTCCAAGTGAAACCACGGAAGACGAGAACGAAGACGAGAACTCAAAAGAGGGAAACCATCATAGCCGTTTCACAACACCCACTCTGAATAGTGATTCCCTATTCATCTCATCAATTTCCCTTCCCTCCGCCAGCAATTTTAAACCAGCCACTTCTCCGACTCGACAAATCGCAATGTTGCTATATTCAACCCTTTGGTGGTATTTTCACCAACCAGCTCCAAATCCGCAGATTTCAACCGAGGAATCTAAAGTAACCCCGGATTTAGGAAAGCCGAAGGGAGAATGGCGCGTTTATATCAGGCTTCAGGGAATATTTAAAGGAAAACATCTCATGCAGAAGTTGGAGCGGATGGGCTTGGTCAGAACTACTGATTCTTTCGTTGGCTGTGTGCCGGTTGGCTTGCATGATTCTCCTGGGTGGGCGAACATGTTTGCCAGCCGTCGCACCTTCTGGCAAATTGATCCGCGCATTTTCCTCTTCAAGCTGTCTCCTAGGAATATAACTCCCCGAGCGTCCGAGCTTCCAGGTAACCTCGGCGGAGACTCTGTCACTTTAACCAAGGATATGTGCGGTAGCGGGCCTTTCAGCCTGTCAGAATGCACGAGCTTTGGTGTCCCAAGTAGATACGGCGATCCATTTGCTTCTGGAAGTAATTTACCTACTTTTTTTCCGCCGCCTCCTTTGGAATTCATCTCCACGAATGGAATACTCCACCCACTCCGCCAAAAGCCGCCTCAACAAGGTGAAGTGTTTTACACCCGCTATATTCCCAGTTTGGGGCAAACATTGTCATTCCGAGTCCCGTCCTTACCTTCCAACGTACCACCCACCCTGAACGACCTGCCAATTTCCCACAAAAAGTCCGGGAGCGCCACTTCAATATCTCCCTCATCAAGTTCCGGGGCTACATCTCCGGGTGGATATCCTTCTGATCTCGCGCTCTTGTCCAGATGGATGAATAATCCTCGAGTTAGTAGGGCTTGGGGCCTTGCTGGGCCCCAATCGGTCCAAGAGAACTTTCTCCAAACTCAGCTCAACTCCCGACATTCGTTCCCTGCCTTCGGCTGTTGGGACGGCCGGCCGTTCGGATATTTTGAAATTTACTGGGTAAAGGAGGATGCACTCGGACGTCTGTTACCTGGGCCGGTGGGCAACTATGATCGGGGCATTCATTGTCTGGTAGGAGAAGAGGAATTTAGAGGCCCTCACCGTGCGCCTGTTTGGCTCTCATCATTGGTTCATTTCTGCTGGTTGGCCGATAATAGGACGGATACCATAATGATGGAGCCAAGAGTCGATAATACGAAGTGAGTTAGAAATTTCCCCTCCTTTTGAACATCCCCTCAACGCTCTTATAGCGCATGTTTCCTTTAATCATCCTTTAAGCTCATGTAAAAACCAAAAAAATGAAAAAAAAAACAGGATTATTTCCTACCTTCAGGCTGTGGGTTTTAGCAAGGATGGCGAAGTGACCTTTCCGCATAAACAATCCGCTTTGATGAGGATCAGACGCGAAAATTGGGAAGCTCCCTTACTCTAACGCTTGAGCTATACTTCCCCCACGCCTTCCAGCCTCAACCTCAAAACATTGGTAAATCCTGTTCAAGAGGTAAGTAATGGAGGGATAGGTAATCGAATACCAGCGGCTATAGCCTCAGGCATAGCCAGCCATCGGCGATTCTTTACAACGTCCTGTAGTTTTGTATTTAATGAGAACTGCGATGATATATTCGGAAGCGTGCGATTTTACGCGCTTGGTATTATACCTATTTCGCTCATCGCCTTCCGTGTGCTTAGTCACTGGTCTATACCGAGTGGGATACCATCTTAAAACACACTCCATCTTTACTACTAAAATTTCAAGTAGGAAGTTTTATTCTCATGTTTAAATTGATACTGTACAATTAAATGCTAGTACGACAAGCCGCCTTCACTTTATTCATACTTTGATTTTGCACATTGAATCTTGAGTTGAATTTTTCAATTATATTTAGTTATCCAGGGGGCGCGTTAGCGGCGTTATAACATGACCCCCCCCAAATAACACGGTTATCGTACGCCACCCAAGCCAAACCCCTTCATATAACTGGGTTATACGGGGGGAGTTCTGCTCGGCATGATATCTTGGCAGATATTTGATCTCCATACAAGATGATTGGTTGAGAAAAAATAGTATGGGCAAAAGGTGATTGATATACGGAGTAGATATGACAGCTATCATTGATATATCATCACCAGTTACCATTGCTAGATATCATTGCTAGATATCATCGATAGATATCATTCATTCAAGCAGGTGAGCAGATATATAGGCAGATAGGCAGTCAGATAGTCATCTAATAAATTAGCATTGTCAGATAGATGAGTAGCTGAATGATGATATTTATTCTCATAGAGATTGATTGGCTATTGAGCAGAGAGGTAGATAGACATATAGATAGATAGACAGATAGATTAGCAGCTATCTAGTATTCTTGATTTCATCAGCAATCAATTGAATATTGAGCGGATTAGAAGATAGATAGACAGATAGTTTGAAATAAGAATAAGAGCTATCTAAGCCAATTACAGTCTGATATTTCAAAATTTATGCTAAAAAGTTATTGTGGGGCTTGGCTAACATATTAGAAACATGGCAAACCTCCATATAGCCCCTAGTTACATATAGACTGGCTGTGTGACCATGCATGGGACCAGGACCAAATTTTTCCTCAGTTCCATTATCAGATATCTTAGTCCTGGTCCCATATAGTGTTTAGTAAATTAATCACTTTAATAAATCTAGTCCCAGGTCATGTTTTACTTATAAATTAATGATTCTAAATGGGACCATGATTTACTCTATATAGATTGGCAGCAGTGATAGATTCGCAGCGGCGATAGATTAGCAGCGATAGGTAGATTGGCAGCGGTAGGTAGGTTGGCAGTGATAGATAGGGGATCTAATAGCAAGCCATTGAGCATTGACAGACTCGGCGAACAAACTGTATTTTACTCGGACGTCGTCCCGCGACGTCGAGGCCAAAGCCCTATCTACGAATCGTCAGAACAGCATCCACTATTGTTGGAAATTCACTGGCGTGAGGCTTAGGTTGTCTATAGGGGTAATATCTCCACCAATCATATCATCAGATTGATGTATTATATAATCATCGGAATGGGATCAAACTTGAGTCAAAATCATGATCAGTTCTAGATCATATTCTTATTTTTAATTACATGAAATATCAAGATTTATTAGTTTCATTTTACTTCTATTTTAATAATTCTAGTCACTTTATAATTCATGGTCCCACCGGCCAGTCTAGTCCCATCAGCCACTCTGCCTGATAGTTGCTTCATTTTATAGCAGAAATGATTGAATGACAATGTGTTCAAAATGATGGCTTAAATCTTGATAATTTTATTGATGTAGAGTAGATTTCTAAATCTCTGATTGATCAAAGTGTGTAAAATTCCCACTTTTAAATCTGTGGTGGAGAATCTGCAGTGGAGACTTAACTTTTGAGATACCAGTTTACAATTGGCTTTCTATTCTTCTTACCCCTGAATTATCTCTCTATAGTGTCAGATATTAAGTTTAAAACCCTCACTCTATAATGCTTAAATATTACTAACTTAAACTCAATTATATTAGATACTTTACAATTTTTTCTCTTTTCAGATTAAGAACAATAAATTGTAAAATACTGACTAATAATAAGATCTTTATTATTAATTATAGCAGGATTTATTAAAACTATTGCATTAATACTAGCTTTAGCTTATCACATATCTCATTATATAAATTACAGTGACTCTGTCATATTTGTAAGAACTTTAACTTTTAACTAACTTTAATTTCAATCTCTAATTTATAATTTCAAAACTCATTTATAATATGAATAGTGAACTATTAGTAATATATCTAGACTCTAGTATGTGTATAGTTTGTAGTTCCCCACTATGCTGTGGCTGGCGGTTGCAGTGTATAGGTGGTGGGAAACCACAGTATTAACATCTTATATTCAAAGCTAGCTAGTCATCGATCTTCTAAAATCTACAAATATCAGCAATTATGTAGATAGCATTGCCACACCACGTGCTACATTCATCATGATTCTAGCATGTTCTGCGCTCTTTTATTGTTATCTTGCCACTTTTAAAGATAAATACTTCTGTTACCTCTATTACTTATATGCACAGTACTTCCTATTTCTTCTTTCTCTTTCTTTTCTTCTCTAGCGATTAGCTACTAACCACTACGCTACTATCTTCTACTATTCATTTTTCACATTGTTATCACCCCTCACAAATATAAAACTTTTAAGATTATATTTTCTTATTTCAATTATGAAAATATTTATATTTTGGTTATCTAATTTAAATATATCAGTTTTCGCAGCGTCACATACATTGATTAGTCAGTAAGCTATTTATTAAATTGAAATCATCTGCAATTAAAATCTAACCTGTAGCTTTATTAGACTTTCAATATGATAAAGATATTCATGATATGGTTTATAACATACAAAAGGATACAAATGGATTTTTACATCTGGGAGATGATGGAATTTTACGGTCATATGATGAACATAATAATGTTTTGGATTATAGAAGGTTTAATAAAACCCATCTTACAACTGTCACCAACTGGTATTCAAAGGAAGGTCAAATTCATTTATCTACAATATGGAAAGATACTGATGAAATAGAAATTCAGAAGGATCAAATATGGTTTCCTTCTAAAGAACTTCAACCTTTTTCATTTTCACAGCAGAGCGTTTTTAGTTCTCAACCTCATTTAGCTTTAAAAGCACGGGATACAAATGTAGTCTGCTCAATGATTGATTGTAGAACTACTTCATTATGTCGGGGTTTTGGATGCAGTGAATGTTTTGTGGTTGATCATCATAAGACGGGTATATGTTTACCTTAAGAATTTTAAATATAGGTTTTGATATTATGACGGGGTTAGCGCCCATTAGTATCTAGCATCTATCACCAGCTCACCTGCTCAATTTGTGAGTCACGTGGAATTGGCTCGTATAGGACCCCAACACCACTCCCTTACGAAAATCCTTTTCTGGTGATTCCACCTTACAATCATCAAGTGGATGCACTGTCCCTGGACTGAGTCTTATCATGAGTTGCTATCTGAATTCTGTTCTGTTCCTCTACTGTGTACGTATAGATCTCTTCAGCGTAGCACGTCCCCATGCCCCTCAGAGGCCTCGGGGATGCAGGCGATGTCTGTACTTTTAAACAAATACATACATACATTAACCTCACAATCATGTAGCTAACGCTTAACATTCTTCCGTTCCGACCCCTTTTTCTATAAGAACCCGTTTTGTGTGACCCCTTCTTCTGATTCTTACTTTCCTCTCACAATCAATTCGTAATCTGTATATAGAATAGTACTAGCGCCGTTAATCGGTAGTACGCAGGTTACAGATATAGATATAGTTATTAGTACATATATACATACATTTTATATCTAATTACAATTATTTATCAATGTAAAATAAAATCCTTTGAACAATAAAATACACATACAGATGCCTTTGCAAAAAGTTTTATCTCACGCTAAGAATTTACAATGAAATATTCTTTCTTACTAGTGTATTGAATCTTATGCCCACACTCTCTGAGATTTTGACAGTGAACTAGGGGGAAGGCTAGAAGCATTGACCATTATATTTCCCTTTGAGAGTCCCTATTCTCTTAATTGAGAGATGGAACGGCAATACTTAATGCCAGAATCAATATTTCAGTTTGAGCTCAGTGAACTGATTTAGTGATGTCGCAAACTTAAACCCATTGCAAGCTGTGTGTAATGGGTGTGCCACTGATTAAGCAGATATTATCAATGTTGCAGATTAAACCATTCATACTGTCTGTGCAGTTCATATAATCTGTTTCAACAGCACTATCAACAGACTTGATACTATTCTGATAACAGTTTATAAATCAATTAAGAAAAGAAAGAGAAAGAAGATCAGAAAAAGAGATTATATAAGAGAATTTTTATAGATAAGAAAATCAGAGCAGAAGAAATATTAAAGATTATACTCTGAAGAAATATAAAATAAAAGAATTATTAAAATATTAAAATATATATAATTGTAGAGTGGAATTATAAAAAGATATAAAAGAACTTTATAAATATATATGAGTATATAAATATGTGATAGAGAATTGATTGTATAAGTTAACTATTAATAAATATTAATCTGTTATATTATTTCTCTCTACTGAAGTGAGTAAGAATTTATAGATATTGAATACAGTGATATTCTTTATAACAGATACAGATTCTCAGATTGAATAATTGTATTTTATTTATTTAATAAAATATTTATAATGATAATAATTAATTCTGTTGCTGAGAATTATTTCAATTTTTTATTCAAATTCATTATTTTCTTCTATAATAACAGATAATTGTCAGTTGAAAATCTTTTGTAAAAGAAATAAATTCTCAACTATAAATTAGAGTAGATTTATATAAAAAATATTATAAATACTAGATGAAATATTCAGTCAATAGTTATAAATATCTAATATTTCTACTACTATATATTTGATATGATAATAGTTCAGTATATATAAGAGATAATCTATTTTTATATTTCTGAGATCTAGTCAAACCTTGTCTTCTATATTGTATTAAATTATAAAACTTTTTTTAATATTTATTTAATTTTTGTAATTCTGCTGAGTGCTGATCATTGAAGTTTTAATTTATTTATAAACTTTTTTAAACTTACTGATTATATTCTCTATTATTTATACAGAACTGTAAATATATATAGTCTTTTAAAAGATTTCAGAAAAGTTCAGAATTTCTAAATTATAACTATATAAAAGAAAAAATAAACTTATATCTATTATAGCAGAATCTTAATTGTTTATAGCAATCTTGATATACAGTAGTGAATTATTTCAATTATTTTGTATATAGACTGACTATATAATCATATATAAGACTGAAATCAGATTTTTTTTTA